GGATGGAGTGTGCCAAGATCATGCCACTGTACTCCAGCCTGGGCAACAGAATGAGACTCCATCAGAAAGAAAGGAAGAAAGGGGAAGGAGGGAAGGGAGGAAGGAAGGGAGGAAGGGAGGGAGGGAAGGAGGGAGGGAGAGAGGAAGGGAGGGATAGAAGGAAGGAAGATTCCTTAGAACCATCCCTCAAAATTCAAATTCACTAGGCTTGGCAGAAGGACCTTACCTCCCACATTTTTAACAAGAGTCTCAGACTATGCAGCAGGCTTGGGAACCAAGGTACTCAGGATCCCCTGCAATGGAAGAAAGACACTTGCATATATACAACGTAATGGTAACTTTTAGGGGCAGTGGGAATGCGGTGGTAAAGCTTTAAAAATCTCTTACCCTGTGGTTCTAATTATCAATAGCAGTCACCAAGTGTCAGCAAGTAGACAACCACCACTATCACTGTCAAAGCATCCCTAGATCCAGGTATACAACTGCTATAAAACTTGTAAGCCACATTCACAACTGTATGCAGAGAGGAGAAGGAAACCGAAAGCATGTTCGCTCATAACTCTTCTAGATTCAGAAATCATATTCTTTATAATAACATCTACAAGAAAGACAGGGTACAATTACATGGGCACCAAAATTATTTTCATAGAGAAACATGTAAATCACCACTTTCCTCAACTGTGGCTCCCAATTTCCAAAGACATCAGAAGTCCTCACAGCAGATTTCAAAGCCCTTCACTAGCTGAACTCATGATTCCCGACACTTCTCACTGCATAATCTTCTTGCTTATTCTCTCTGTGCCCACAAAATTTTCTACTTTAATATCTCCCACAGCCAGACTTTTGTTTCCCAGTTTTCAATCACTCTCTAAGCTTCACCTGCTCCTCTAAGTCCCCTAATTAAACAGAGCCTGATCTAAATGTACCACTCACCCCCACAGAGCCTGCAAGATTTTCTACATTGCTACCAGATGTGTTTGAATTTGCCTGTACAGGCATGTAGGCACAGGAACAGACACAGAGCTGATCAATCTTTGCAGTGATTTCCTTTAAAATATAAAATCTTCAAGTGTAGATACCAAATCATGACTGTAAAACCTGTCTCAGGAGCACAAAAAGCTAACCTGTGTAAATAACATATATTCCAGTGCATTCGGAAGATGTTCTCCAGATAGTTCATGTGCACCCAGAGTTCACATTCCCTGCTTAGAAGCAAAGGGAATAAACATGGCTCTGGGTACCTTTTCAGCTCTAGTCATCACTCATTAATTTACACTTTCAATTTCAAAGAATGAGAAATGGTAAATGAATAAAGTAGACAAGTGAGCAGTGACTAATAAGAAAACAGAAGACTGGCTTTGAAATATATTTGCAGTACCCCCTCTTCCTGAGAACACACAAACCAGAATAACTAGATCTCAAGTTATACAGCCTACCAGATAGACTAGGCAGATCCTAACACATCATGAAAACAAAACTGAACAAAACAAAACTTGCCTTGAAAGTGCCAGCCATATTCTGAGATCATAGTTAAATCTGAAAAATGTAAGCCTCCTCCCAGGACTCTAGCTGCTATGCTCAGAGAAAAGGTGGAAATAAGACACTAGTTTTTTTGAATTATTTTCAGTATAACAAAACAACATATATGGAAATCAAAAGAAAAAAAAGACAGCTAAAATCTTAACAGGTCAGATCATTTTCAAACTTCCAGTCTATAAATTACATACACACTATAGAAAGAGATGGTGGGGGAGGGGTCCCAAAAAATTCAGGAGCAAAACCTACTTACAAAATGTACTTTAATAACTAGCTTCCAAAAGTGAATTACAATTTTAGTGTTGCACATACATAACTGTCTTAATAAAGAACTCTTTCTTACAAAATATTATCTCAACCCAGTTAGGATATAGTAAAAGGAGGAAGAAAAGTCACTGAAAACACCACTCTACTAGAATTGGGCCAAAAACTTCCTCACCTAGCTGCCCAAGGCAAAAAAAAAAAAAATCAAAACTGAATAAAGAGCCCAGACAGTCACGGTGGCTCACACTTGTAATCCCAGCACTTTGAGAAGCAAAGGCAGGTGGATCACCTGAGGTCAGGAGTTCGAGACCAGCCTGGCCAACATGGTAAAACTCCAACTCTACTAAATATACAAAAAATTAGCTGGGCATGATGGCAGGTGCCTATAATCCCAGCTATTTGGGAGGCTGAGGTAGAAGAATTGCTTGAACCTGGGAGATGGAAGTTGCAGTGACTCAAGATCTCGCCACCGAACCCCAGCCTTGGTGAGAGAGAGAGACATTGTCTCAAATAAATAAATGGCCCAGAACTAGCTGATTATTTATGAAAAACCTAAGAACTCCGTAATTACCCCATCTTTCCAAGTTGTAAAACAACAAAGGCTGTTAGAATATGAAGATGACCTATGAGATTAGTCCTAATAACAATCTAGTTTTTAACAATTCTTCCAAAACAGTTCTAAATCTTGACCTCCCATTTAGTAAACAGATTTCTCAGATTCAGAGTTCCAGTTAGAGGTAAAGGGTGTGTGACAACACCAATGAACTGCAAATTTCAATTACTATTTTTCTATTAAGTTCGGAAGTAGAAAAACAAGGTATGTCAGGAGTTCAAGACCAGCCTGGCCAACATGGTGAAATCCTGTCTCTACTAGAAATACATCAGCCGGGTGTGGTGGAGGACACCTGTAATGCCAGCTGCTCAGGAGGCTGAGGAAGGAGAATCTCTTCAACCCAGGAGGCCGTGGTCGCAGTGAGCCAAGAGTGTGCCACTGCACTCCAGCCTGGGTGACAGAGCAAGACTCCGTGATGGGGGGGGGATGGGTCAGCTTTCAAGGGTCCTTTATCATCTATTTTGATGGGAAAGCACCCTATAATGCACCCCAGCTTCCTTGGGCCCTATCTTCCCAGATATTCTTTTCTCTAGAATATCCAGACTGGTGGAGATAAGAATCCTTCCTCAGGCTACTAGTACCCCTTACAAAAGGTAATCTTACTCAATGTCTTTGATCTTATGAGTAGGCTGGCAAACCATAGGATATATAAGCTGCCTGTAACATTTGAAGAAATAAACTATTTTGCCTTCTTCTATAATGCTTAGTGTACACACACAGAGAGACAGAGAAAGACAAGGAACACAGACCCTCTAGAAATAAAAATAAGAGAAGACTGATAAACCAGGAAAATAGACACCTGTGTACTCAAGTCAGCTCTGAAATTCACCCAGATGTGTGGCCCACTGCCTAGACCAACATATACATCTATCTGGTAATAATAAACACTGATATGTCATAAACAAAAAGTTTTCTTAACTCCACAAAATACCAGTAATATTAAAATTGAATATATATTAAATAGATTTTTTAGATGGTATTTCAATTTGTTACTGTATTAATAAATGAAAAACTGGTATTTTACTGCCTAGTTTTCAAAACACTAAACTCTTTAATTTGACCATGGTACAAATCTGTTTTCAGTAGAAAGAGAAAACACAGTGCCTCCGTTTAATGCAAAGGACAAAAAAGATCATCACTGCAAATCATAATGTTTGGGTTCATGATGAAAACAGGAAAGAGACAGGCTGCCCAGGTATAATTATGGTTGCAGTCTAATGTGCCTTCAGGTTCAGCCAAGAATTAAAACCCAGTGAAGAGGGTAAGCAGAATTTACTTGCCTTTACTTTACTACAGAATGCAACTTTTAATAATACTCCCAGCAGCATGTTACATAACCAACAATAAACAACAATCTGATTCAAACCTCATTAGTAACAACCTTCTGCCACTGTCTCCCACTGAAATTAATAGCTGACTTTGCCAGAGGGGAAAGAAATGCAACACATATCAATCTACCCATTTCTGTGGCGCCTTCCACAGTGAACCAGACACAAAGATAATACTACCAGATCTGTACAGAAACTATGAAAATATTTTATTTTTTTCCAGTTTGCTCCTCTCTTCCTCCTTTTAATTAGACCATATCATGTGGATACCTTTAAAACCTGAGAGGAAAGTCAGTTGAGAGGGTTCATCTAACTTTTATTGCTTATTTCGGCTATGATCTGAAAGGAATGGAAGCACAAAATGAAGAATAAGGTATCTGTAACAAAGATACATGGGTAAATTAAAAGCAGTAATGTAAAAAAGACTGAGGGAGCAGCAATGTGGAGAGGGAAGCAAAGGAAGATGTACAGGAACAATCATACAATCATCAAATTTAAATTTTATAAACCTAAACATAGTATCTACAACCTTTATGAGGGTTAAGTTTTGTTTAATTGTCTCTTCTAAGTTTTGCATTTCTACAATTTTCGCCGTAGAGAGAAAAATATTAATAGTTACCAAAGGAATAAAAGACTAAAATGGTTTGTCACACATCCACAAATAGCCCCTTATGAAATCTGGAACACTAATTTCATAATGGTATTTGGATCAATAAATGTAAAACTGTCCCACTGAGTGTAGGTGCTGTTTTCCCACAACGGACACTACTGCGTGGGCATCTAGCAGGAATTGTAAGCTATTTGGAAAGTTACTAAACCTACTAGGACTAAGATTTTCAAACTTTCATCTTTCAAATTAAAATTAAAAACTAATTCACTCTGGGCAATTCAGGTACTCTAAGGAAATTCAAGTACTCTAGTTTTAAATAAGAGTTTTAAAAAACGCAATCCAAATACCCTTTCCTCTCAACTTTTGTGAGGCCAAGCCACGACCTCCACCTATCCAATCTTTTCTGCTAGATAAGAACACTTTTCATAGCGCTAGGCAACAGGCATGATGTGACAAACCTAACCAGACTTCAAAACTTTTCCACAGATAAGGTAAACAAGATATACTTAGCACCACACCCATTTAAACACACAAGCAGCCCTGCGCCACCCCCCAACACCACACCCCCTCCAAACCTCCAGCTGGTCAGGAAACATTGTCTTTACAATCAAGATAACGATCTGGCTCAGGGTGTGCAGCCACTCCTCACCTACAGACTGGCCTAAGCTCCATTCTCCAATGCCATCACCACCAGAATCGAAAGGTTCTGTTAGGAAGCCGTCAAATGTCCAAACACCCCGACTATCCTCGCCCGAGTTTTCTGCAACCAAAAATCTATTTTGGCTACTGAGCATGCTCAGACTTAAGACGGGCGCGCCACATGGGAGTTTTCAAAGCTTAGGCTCCAAACTCCACGTAATAACAGCAGCTGAGAAGTAGAGGGTAAAAGGGGAGGAGAAAGGGAAGAGACTGGAATATTAATTTGGGCCCTGATGTTGAAGTATAGGGCCTGGCCAGCGGCTGAATATGGTGAAGGCAAAAAGACGCTGCTTTGGCATTCTGTTTGCAGCATAGAGAAGTTTACAAGTAGAAGAAATCCTTGCCGTGGTGAAAACTGACATGGCAAGTGGCGGAAACCAGGTCTAACTACCAGCTGATTGCAGTAGCCGGTCACAACTGCCCCGAGTGTAATTAAAACCGATAAGCGCGGATCCTTATCTTTGAAACACAAACCGACCGCGGCACGGATTCATCCAGCCACTGGACAGCTTTGCAGTGCAGAAGCCCAGGCTGCTCCCCCGAGCACTGCAGTCCTATCAGGGATGTGTATCGAGGGTGGTACATCAGTTTGACGTAGGAAAGCAAACCGCTCTCTAGAACAGACGAGGGGTCAGGGGATCCCCTCCAGGACGTCCCGGATGCCTCCCTCCTAAGTCCGGGTGGTAACAGCGGGGCTGGGATGAGGGCCGGCCCCGGCCCCGCCTCAGGACGCCCCGGGCCGCAGGAGAGGCCTCCGCAGCCGCTGGGCCGCACAGTGTCTGCCAGCCGGGACCCCAGCAGGCCAAGACTCGGCCTACCTCCGGCCCGGCAGGCCCCTGGTAGTTTCCGCTCCGCCGCGGCCGAACGCCCCCGCCTCGGCCCGAATCCGCACGGGCAGGGCCTGCAGCCTCTGGTCCAGCTCGCCCGCGCGCGCCGGGGACCCTCACTCACTCACCGGCCGGCTGGGCGCGCTCTCCCGACGCGGTCGCGGCGCTTCTCGCTGCAACTTTATTAGCAGCTCGACTGCGGGACACGCGCACGGCGCCCGCTCGCCCAGGACCCGGATGAGGGAGGGAGGGAGGGAGGGAGGGAGCCTGGGAGAACGCCCGCTGGGGTCAGCGCATGCGCGCCTGGGGCTGAGTGACCGCTGCGGGACCGAGGGAGGGGGGTCTTGCCCGGGCAGCTGAAGGAAGCCTTCGGGCCTGGCTCAACGCCGGACAACGCCAACTTCCGATCGGCCGCCGGAGGCGTTTGCGTCGATGGCCAAGCCTGGGAGTGGGAATTAGATAGCTCCCACCCCAACAGTAGCCGCTAGTAGCTTCCACTAACCAAATCAGCATACATTGTAATAAAAGTAAGTAATTGTCCTGGATACAGACAACTGGAGATTTTCTGTCATATACAAAGTGTAAACAAAGATCTTCAGATACGACTTAGCTACTTGTATTGATTTGTAATACAAACCTGAATGAAGAGTCTTCTTTCTGTGCACAGTAGCTTCAAAACATGTTTCTGAGCATCCTACAGTTTCTCACTAGATGCAGCACTGAAACTCCTCCCACGGGGCAATCCTGGAACCCTTGAGGGCCTATGGAAATGGAGCCGAGTGCCCGATCCTGGAATGGGACTGTCCATACACCGGGTTACAACCCCAGTATTTCAAGACAACATACCCTCTCCACCTCCTTGTGGGGAGGGAGATACCCTGAGGACCCAAGCCCTGCAGGCAGTGGGGTCACTGAGGTCCAGAGATACTGATATATACCACCCCATCTCCTGAACTCTTTTCTTAGTAATTGGAGCTTTTCTCAATGCTTTTCCCTCCAAATTTCCAAAACTGTCAGCATTTCCAAGAGTATAGGCTAATATACACCACCCCATCTCCTGGACTCTTTTCTTAGTAATTGAAACTCTTCGCAATGCTTTTTCCTCCAAATTTCCAAAACTGTTAGCATTTCCAAGAGTCTATTGGTACCACATAGGGTACCCGATTTGGAGGATACTAGTAAGAAAAAGCTCTTGAATAATTTTGTTTTTATTTTAGAAGGTCAATGCTGGCTTTCCAATGTTTTATTATAGGTTTTCTTTTAAAAATAAGTAAAAATCAAAATCGGAGTCATTTTGGAAAATGCTCTTTCATATCCTAATTCAATCTATTGGGAAATTCTATTAACTCTTTCTTCAAAATATATCCTAACTCTGACCATTTCTCACACCTCAATTGCCAACTCCATGGCCTGAGGCAGAGTCATCTCCTCTGACACACAAATGGTGCAGCCACTGTTTTGCTCCAGGCTCTAGCAGTTTACTTCCATGGAGAAGAAACTAAATAAATGTTCTAGAAGTCTCTGCATTATGGGTGGCCATCTCAAATGGTGACAGAGGCCTAAGAAAAGTGTGAAGGGGAGTGGGAGAAGAGACCAGAGAGTGCTTAGTTCCAGAGACCAAAGGGGTCACTGCTATTTCATCATCTAGCCAACAGTTACTGTAGTGAAATGTGGGAATAAGGGTCCGGTGTTTGCAAATATTCTGATTTTTCAAGAAAAGCTGGGAATTTAGATTTTTATGCCAAAATCTCAATTGTATCTGTTTAGCAACTTCTATTTTTCTCTCTTTCCCTGTCTCCTCCCCCCCCTTCCTCTCACTCTGTTAGACATTCTGGAGGTCAACGCCATGCAAGCCAAACAAAACAAATCCATGGTCAGGATTTAGCCTACTGGCCACCAGTTTGCAATTTCAGGTCTCCATCTTAAACTTCTTTACTACATCATAAACTTTGTGAAAGTAAAGTCTGTATACTTTAACTCTTTGTCACACTCACTGCTTATTTGTTGTTAATTCAGAAGTTTCCAGCCCTTGGAAGGCAAATATTTCTGGAGCCTGCATGGATTTACAACTCCCAGAAGTGCATATGATCCTGCCTTGGAGGATATGTTTTTTTTTCCAGAACTGATGTTTGCAGAGTGCTTTGTTGAACATTATGGGACATAGCAATTTGGTTTAAATATTTTGTGTGATAGAGATACGCCTCACTTCAAACAGCCAGTAAAATCCTTCTCAAAACAAATTATTTGCTGTTTTGTAGTCACTCTACATATGTCAGAAGAATGTGTGATTACAAGATTCCTTTTCATAATCTCATATGTAATCTCAAAGCCAACGGTTTTGCTTCCTAAGTCATGTGTCCACATACTGATCAAATCAACCAGAGACGCCAACCTCTCCAAGTTGCTATTTGAGCTCTGTTTAGGTCTAAAGTTGGAGGAGATGATAACATAGAAGGGAGGACTGGAGATTTTAGAAGCACACCAGCAGCCATCCGAAAATCTAAGAAATTACCTAGACATCAAAGGCTATAGAAAATCAGAGGGATCACTAAATTCTATATAGTCAAAAACATTATAAAATAGCAAATGAACAGGCGTGCCAGAACCATAAAAATGAAGTAAGGATGCTCCTGTTTTTGGCAATCAAATGGGATCTAAGAATAAACGTAGAGCAGGAAGATCTGAACAGATAGACATAGTCAGTGGGGCATCAAAATAGACAAACTGCCTTTATGGTTTAGCCATTCACCTGATCAAGAAGACCAGATAAAAGTAACTCTAATACTCAATTTTACTTTACTTGTAGAAAAACCTATTTCTGGATAATTTAGCCCTATAATTCTCAACTAGGGGTGATTGCACCCCCAGGAAACAAACATTTGGCCATGTTTGAATATGTTCTTGGTTGTCATAATTAGGAGGGCGTTGCTACTAGCATCTAGAGGGTAGAGGCCAGAGACACTGCTGAACACCCTACAACACACAGGACAGCCTCTTTCTACCAAAAATTAATCAACCAAAAATGTCAGTTGTGCTGTGGTTGAGAAACCCTATTTAAATCCCAAAGAGTTTTTCTTTAATTGGGTTGATGTTTATGGAAGATATGGTCCTTGTCTTTGAATTCATTCAATAATTGTTTAGATTATCAATTTGATGTAGAGAATTAGCCTAAATGTTTAGCCCATGACCTACTCCCACCTTGAGCTTTTCATGTCTAAGAAGGAGGCAACTTTCAGGAAAGGTGGCACAATATATGGAAGATGAAGAACTGGAATAATTTTTAAAGTATTTTTGTATTTTTTAAGTTTTATTTTTAAATGTACAGTAATTGAAGCTAATTGTTTTTGGCTTGAAAATCCTTAATCAGTATCTTAATTACATAGTTTACCGTAGCTCAGAAGGCTCTGCCTACGTGACTACTGTGGGAACTGGAAGAATGTGATGATGTTAGGAGTCAGCCAGCATAGAAGCATGAGTGAATGATATCCCAGAGATCTACAGAGGATCCTGGTAGCCGTTTCAAAGGCTTGTTCTCCCTTCCTCATACCATTATGGCACATGGACATTAGAGGAAGAAATGGTGAAGTTTGCATGACTCCTCCAGCAGAGTTCTTGGAAACAATAAAGCTTCCTTTCCAAATTCTGAGAATTCTGTGTTATTCCTTAATTGGCAGACTGCCCACTGCCCACAATTCTTAATATTGGAAACAGTGCAGAAGCCAGGACTCAACTGAGAAGTCCTGAGATGAGTGAAGTTCTAAGGAAATGATGTGCAGAGGCACAGCCCATAATCGAGAAAGAAAAACTTCATCATGTGTGTCAGAAGAACCTTCATGTCAGTCTTAACAGAATGATCCAAGCTTCCATGCTGACCAGAGAATATGCAAAAGTAATTTTATCCAATATTTGAAGTTTTTTTCTAGTAAAATTTTGGTGTTCTGGTGTGAAGTGCTTCCCTTATAATCCACAGACCCTTTATTTTCAAAACTCAGAAGCTGAGATCATAATGTATTGAAAGAAGAAAAAAAGTAAAAGAATGACAGCTGCCTCCACTCAAAGCACAGGAATCTGGCAGCCACAGACTCCTTGAAGCTTCAGGGACGGATATCAGAGAATCCGTGAACCCCACCCCCACCCCCTACCCCACCAAGGAATTAATGTGCACATTTTTATATATTTACCTATATTCGAATTTTCTGCAGGAAAAAAAACATAGCTTTCATCACATTCTTAAAGGTTTCCTGACCTCCACATGTTTGCAGATGCTTAAAACAGTGGTTACTTTACATGTGGTATAAGTTTAATGTATCCATTTAAGGTATCTTTTCTTCTCTTTTTCAGAGGAACTTAATTAGAAGACTCCTCTCTAGGGAAGGCAGCTTGATGGAGAGTGTAGGAACCTGGCTTGCCTGTCTCCAGCCATCTGCCACATTAAAGAAGGCCTCCTATGGCTGGAATCCAAGACACAAAATTAAAAGGGTTGCTTGCACCCAAAGTCATAAAACAAAGAGGCTTTCTGAAGCAGGCCTTGGAGTGAATACTCATTTCTTCCTGACTTAAACAGCATCTGTTTCTCCTGATGGTGAGCACCCCCCCAAGTTAACTCAAATAACCTCTGGGGTTCTGCCTTCTCAGTTTTCATCCTCAGAGACATAGTCTCAGATGAGCCAAAGCACATGTGTACCCCACCACAAATCCAGAGCAGCAGGTGAAAATCTGAGTGTTAGGGAATGGAGGCGAGGGAAAGAGACAAAAAACTTCATGTTCTCTAGGAAGCTTTTTAAATACATGAAGTCTTAATCATGAAAACTCTGATGCCAGACTTCTTCGTCTGAACAAAGACTATCTCACTACTTGTGTGACTATGCACAAGTTTCTCAACCAATCTCTGCCTCAGGTTCTTCATCCCTAAAATGGGTATAACAGTAGTATCAACTTAATAGAATTATGAGGATTACATGCATAGAGACTTACAAAGTTCTTAGAACAGAGCCTGACACATAAGTAAGTGCTATACAGGTGTTTGTTTTAAAAACACACATATTCTTCCAATATGCCAGCAATTTCTAAGAATGAATTAGCAAATCTATTTGTCACATAAAATTTGTATTCATTTTACAGTACAATAGACCCTCTTCTCTTCTTACTCCATAGGTAACCTCATCCACTCCCAGGCCTCTAGTATTATCTGTTACAGACAATTCCCAAATTTCTGGTCCCATCTTGGACTTGGCAAATGAACGCCAGACCCATTAAGTTCAATTGCCCTCTTACCATCTCTACCAGACTGCAGTAGTTGTAGATTTTGTCCACCCAGATACCTTCCAATCCTCTTTTTCCTGCTTCATTTGTGATACAATTTCCTTCCTATATTAACTACGGTACCAGACATCTTACCCCAGAGATGGGCACATGACCCAAGAGGGTTATCATAGTGCCCTGGCTACCCAGGCCAGTGTGATTGGTTGATAAATGGACATATGACCTAAGCAAAATAACAATATCATAATCTCTTAGACTGATGTATGGATGCTGAGAGAGAAAAGTCCTTCTTTTTACTGTCATTGCTAAGCTGACGGTGACTCTGAGGCTGCCAGGAGCCATCTCACCATATGGAGGGAGTTTGCTTGGAAGTGAAGCCAAAAGAGAGAAACAGATCAGAGAAACAGAAGCTAAGTCAAATCCCTGACAAAATTTTTTGAGTCCCTGGATCCAGCTGTACCTGAAGCTCTGAAGGTCCTCCTTAGACTTTCCAATTACATTCACCAGTATATTCTGCTTTTGCTTAAGCTAGTTACATTTCTATCACCTGTGATTCCTGTCATCGGCAGTCTCACTAAATTTATCAGGTCAAAAGTTGAATTCCTAATTTTTATCCTCTCTCCCCAACCTGTTCCTGCTCCAACCTTCCTAATATCAATAAATGGCAGTTCCATCCAGGTAGTTGCTCAAGCCATACCTCGCTGCCATGTTGGAAGACTGGATTATTGTTCTTTAACCCTCAATCTCTTCCCTGTTGTGAAATTATATACTTTGCTAGGTGACTTTGCGGATCTTTCACTAGAGAAGGTGAAATATGCTTTCTTGATTCTTTGAAATTGAATTTGGTCGAGCCAGGCACCGGGACTCATGCCTGTAATCCCAGCACTTTGGGAAGCCAAGGCGGGCAGATCACCTGAGGGGAATTCGAGACCAGCCTGACCAACACGGAGAAATCCCATCTCTACTAAAAATACAAAATTAGCCAGGTATGGTGAGGCAGGATAATCGCTTGAATCTGGGAAGCCAAGGTTGCAGTGAGCCGAGATTTCCCCACTGCACTGCAGCCTGGGCAACAACAGTGAAACTCCACCTCAAAAAAAAAAAAAGAAATTGAATTTGGTCTTCTGTGCTTTTTCCATCCAGCATTAGAAGAACAGACTCCAGGTAGACATTAGTCCAAGGAAGATGAAAATACACATGGTGCAGAGTGGATCCCAACCCACAGTCCAGAGCCTAGCTCAACAGACCTGCAAGCCTGAAGCACAGTTACCCACACGGATTCACAGACCGAAGAATGAGAAAAAGTAATGTCTGTTGTTGTATACCACTGAGATTCTAGGTTTGTTTGTTATGAAGCAATAGCCAACTAAAAGCATTCTTCACTTACCTTGTTTCTCACCCTCATTTACTTTCTCATTTATTAAATTACTAAATGATAGACCCAGGTCTTTATTCAATAAAGCAATAAGTATTTATTGAATACCTAATATGCATCAAGAATGTTTGGGGCATCAGGAATAAGACATTAAATAAAACAGACAAATATCAAGCTGTAATAAACAGATAATTGTTAAAAGTGAGAAAGCAAATAAAATTTAATATGTGCCATGGTAACAAGTACATGGTAGAAAAACAAAACCATGATTGGAGTTGGCGGAGAGAGTGCTGGGGTGAAAAATGATGGCCGCTGTTAGATGGAGCAGCCGGAGTTAAATAGGGCTGCCCTTCCACTTTCAATTCAGTGCCAAGTCTTAACAGTTTTGCCTTCAAACCATAGCTCAAATCCATCCACTTATCTCCATGTCTACAATCTCTTTTTTCTACTTCAGTCATTTGAGTTTAACCCATGTCTACAATCTACAGATAGACCCAGGTCCTAGACCAGGTCACCCTTATTTCTCACCTGACTATCTTCTGCCTCCACGCAGCTTCACTCTACTCCCTCTATCACCCAGCAGCTATTCCATGTTGAAAATATAAATAAGATTATGATTACTCTCACAGTAAAGCTCTTCAAGATCTTCCCATTGCACTTCATATAAAATCCCAACTTCCTCCCATGGCCCTGCCCTAAGTGATATGATCCTTGCCATGGTCCACTTCTCGCAGGTGCCTTGCTCACACTGATCTTCTTTCTGTTCCTCACATATCACAAATTCTTCCCCATATTAGGATCTTTGTACATGTGGTCCCCTCACTTGTTCTCTCTCTCCACCTTGGAAACTTCTGAATGTTTTGCCTGTCACTCCTGACTTTTCTTGATCCTTCTCATCAACCTTGGGTCTCAACTTCAATGCCAATTTCTTACAAAGGCCCTCCCTGGCCATGTCTGCTTTCCCCACTGCACCCTACCTAGACTGGGTGCCCCCATTGTATGCTGCCAAAGCATCCAGCTCTTTCTCTGCTGGAACTCACTTCCCACATGTCATGACTTGATCAAAGTCTGTATTCCCCACTGTAATTAAGTTTCTCTTCATAAGTGAGTCCTCAACGCATAGATCAGGGCCTGGCATGCTATAGTCCTTCAGTAAAGGGTCATTGAATTTTCTACTTCAATTTTGGTCTTAGGTGTGCTCCTAGTTACAATCACTTTGCTCCCATTTAATTTTTCTACATTTCCTAATCAAATGTTAGTATGTACGGGTGTGACTCCATCTCCCAAGCAGAAACTCAGCCATTAAACTTACCATTCATTTGTTCACTTATTAATTCAATATAAAATATTTATATAGTATCTACTCCATGCCGGGCACTGTGTCAAGGCCTGGGAATACAAAGGTGAGTTGTACTTTCCCTGTCCTAGTGAAGTTAACTGTCTCCTAGGGGATGCTTGATTGTCTTCTGTCTTCAAAATCTATAAACAGTAGATGGAAGACTCAAAAACTAAAAATCAAACACCTATCCTTTCAAAGCTGTAAGCCTAAGTATTCTCAGTGGAGGAGACTCTTCTTACCTTTAAGGAACTCCTTGTTTTGTGAAAAGCTCCCACCTATAATAGACCATTTAATTACAAAAATGTAAGACAAGGACTTTTTCTGAAGTAGAGTTTTTAGCACTGAAGGGTTAACTATTCAGTCTGATCATTGGAAAGGGTGTTACAAGAAAAGCTGCATCCCACTCAACTACAGTACCTGAAATGTTTCATTGCTAAGTATAGATTTTTTTAGAATAGCTTTATAGTTTTTGCACAAATAATGCATGTTTATTGGGAAAATTCAAATTATAGCAAAAAGGCCAAAAAACATAAAAATTACTTAAAATCCCATGAATCAGAAATGATCATGGTCAATACATTGGTGGAACATCTTACAAGACATCTCTTTACACACACACACACACACACACACACACACACAAATAGCTGATATGGATTAAGCACTTACTTTATGCAAAGTACAGAGCACCATGCCTTTTATATTTGATGAAATGCTGCAATAACCTTACAGTGTAGTCATGATTACCAACATTATCATTCTCCTTTTTGTAAAGGAAGTAACTAAGGCACAAACCAATAAGGAACAGGCTGTTGAGAATGCACATATTCCTACATGCTGTATGGGTTTATAACTCTCAGAAGTGTTTTAATGTGCCTTGGAAACTGCCTTGTTTTAGAAACTGGTGTTTGCAAAATGCTTTGTTGATCATTAAAGGATATAAGAGAACTTGTTTGAAATATTTTGGATGTGAATCCTGTTTCTTACTTTGTTACATTCTGTAAAATCTTGTATTCTCTGCCTTCTATAGCACAGTCCCTTCCAACGTCTCCTAGCATCTCCAATACCACCCCCTTTTTCCTTGTCATTAAACTGGTATTTTTGTTGTCCACACTGCTCCCACTTCCTACTGGGCCATCACGTTGCCATCAACACACCTTTGCTTTTATAGTAACCACTAAAGATGTCCCTTCCTGCAGCCAGTGCTACCTTTCCTTCCCAGGCCACCTTACATTTCTCCTCCTCCTTCATGACCCGGCTCATCCTCAAAGATCTTTTCTTGATGCTTGAAATTGTGGGAGGTGCATAAAAAGGAAAAGATATGCACCATGTCAAAATGGAGAGAGGTGAGGGGTTTCACAGCCATTTCACAGATAAGAAAATGGAGGTTCAGAGAACTGAAGTCAATTCCTGAGTTTATACACATAGCAATGAAACTAGAATTCAAATCCAGGTGAACCTAACTCTCAAATTCTTGTTCTAACCATGACACAATACTGCCTGCAATATTGTCAAGAGCAATACTGCTCTTGACTCACTCTTTTTGAGACACAGAACCATTCTAAACTTTTGCACTCTAACAAAAATGACACTTATGAATCCTGTGATCAATGTCAGGGAACAATACTCTGTTAAACCAAGCTGAGAAAACAATAGGTTACTTAAGAGAATGAATAAATAAATGTGTCAATGTGCACAACTGCAATTTCTAACCTGAATTTGTATTGGGTGATGGTAAAGTCATACAGAGAAAGTAAGCCATAAAACTGTATTTATTCTAACAGCCAGGTAAAGGCCCTGAGCAAGCTTAAAAGCCCCTCAGTGAATGCAGTTAGTGTTTCGACATGTTTACCTTGTAGTGGAACCTATTCATTCTATTTGTGTAATGACTAATGCTTTTGTGGATGTATCATTTACAATATGGTGGCATTATTAATGTGCCACATTAGAGCTGATTTAAAGTGTTGAATCAAATCAATTAAGCTCTTCTAAGTCAACTCTGGCTACCCACCTCATGCCGTGTTAGGTTTCCATTGCAGAGAGGGGCTCCGCTAAACAGTCCAGGGATGTTGGTCTCATCTGTGTGGCCTCCATAGACCTGCTTTTATGGAGCACTGTTGCACTATGTACTGAAAACTAAAGTTCAAGTGTTTTTAAAAAGCGGGTAGAAAGTCAACAAAGTCCTCTGCTCCAAATGTGTCACAGATGGAGCAGAAGGAGCCCCCTGCCAGGTCATTCTGTCAGAAATGAGAATTTGTATGACTTCTGAGCTCCAAAGTGTTCTTGGCTATAATGTCTCTGAGATCAGAGCAAAAACCATCTGCAGACTGCTTCTGGCTTCTAAGACCATTGGAAAGAAATCTTTACTCATCTAAGAGTAAATATTTACCTGCTTATGATTGCTAGATGAGTTTCCATTATATGCTAGGAACTATAAGGTAAGAAATGATTCTACGCATTTCTCTATTTATTCATGAAAAACAAGATATTCAAAGACAAAGATACCAGTGGAAAAGAATATTCACCTCTCCCAATGAACCTCTTCCCGTCTCTTCCTTTGGTCAGTTCTATGTTCTGATCTCTAGTATCATGATTACAATTCCCTTTTTGATTCATTTAGTTATTCAACGAACATTGGCTGAGTGCTTATTATGTGCCAAGCCCTGGACTAGACATGGGGAATGTCCTACAGAGGAGAAAACAAGCAACGGCTCTGCTCTTAGGGAACAAAATCAAGTCAGAGAGATAGACATAAATCACTTAATCTCTAGTTTGTCTAAATAAGATGATCCCAAAACACCCTCTTTATTTTTCTGATCAGCTTTGGCTGAGCTAACTTTTTAAACTGTATTTTTCCCTCTCTTTCTACTCATCTCATCAATACCTGGAGTTCATTTTTTGAATCCTATAACCAGCCTCAGGGAAACAGATATTCTCATGCTTTGTTTGTTGTCTTGTAACATTGACATAGCGACAAACAAATTGGAGTAACAAGGCAGACAGACACCCAAAAGCCTACATCTACATTTACTCTTGAAGTGTTTAGGACCTGGGGTTCTGACGATTACCACCGATTCACAAGCAAGTCATGTTATCACCGAGCTGTGATATTTCACCTTGAGGACCCCAACAATTATAGAACTACCAGGATGTGATAAACAATTTAATCAGCAGGCTAATGCCCTGTAGCTAAATTAGCACAGGAAAACAGACACTAGACACAGGTTGTATGCTGAGCCGTTTGTGATTGCTATCTTTATTTTATTTTATTTTATTTTATTTTTTTGAGACAGAGTCTCACTCTGTTACCTAGATTTCAGTGCAATGGCACAATCTCAGCCCACTGGAAACTCTGCCTCCTGGGTTCAAGCGATTCTCCTGCCTCAGCCTCCTGAGTAGCTGGGATCACAGGTCCCCACCACCACACCCACCTAATTTTTTGTATTTTCAGTAGAGACGGGGTTTTACCATGTTGGCCAGGTTGGTCTTGAACTCCTGACCTCAGGTGATCCACCTGCCTCGGCCTCCCAAAGTGCTGGGATTACAGGCATGAGCCATTGCACCTGGCCTATTAAGAGACAGGGTCTTGCTGCGTCACCCAGGCTGAAGTGCAGTGGCGCAATCATAGCTCACTGCAACCTCAGCCTCCCAGGCTTGAGCCATCTTCCCACCTTGACCTCCCAAATTGCTGGGATTACAGGCATGAGCCATTGTGCCTGGCCTGGCTGCTACCTTCAGCTACTCTTAGCACCCTTAGGTAGGAAGCCTTAATTAAAAAGAGCCTTAATGAAGTCCTTTTCTCCACAGCACACATGAAGACAAACATACCAATAGAAACTCATTCCTTATCCTTATAGTTGTTTTCTTCTTACTCCTTACAATGGAAAGGAAGGGGTGAACACAAGTTAGTAGTGGTAGAAGAGGCATTTTACAAGGACACATGAGAGAGTGAGGTGACAAGGAATGTGGTTTCTTTGACCATAAAGACACACTTTAGGGTACCAGTCTATTGAGGCTGGGTTGACCAGAAGTTGGGAATCCAGCCAGCCCTAGAGTGGCCCTTCTTCTCTTTTTTGAACTTTTACAGAATTCTTTGTAGTTAGCTGTCTCCAAAGAAACTCCTAAGCTTGCCATTGCCCAAAATGAAGTGCCCCTATTGATTAGAAGTTCATACCAAACCTCCTTGGAAAGCATTGGTTTATCTCTTGCCCAGCCCTTTTGCAATTTGGTAGGGACATCAGTCTTCATCCGGGCCATTATGGACAGAGATGTAAGGCTGCTACCACTCAAACCATGTGACATAAGCCAAAACCACTGATCCAGGAACAAAGTGGCTCAGGTCACTTTCCTGATGAGACGACTGTGGGCATGGTAGACACCACAGACTTCCTGGACTCCACCACTGCCAGCCCAGCACACAAAGTGAGGCCCAGGGACCTGCTCGGCATGGCTACCTTTTCCCCTACAAGATATTCCATGGTTCATGTATCCACCCAAACACTCATACTTTTACAGATAATCCACTATGCGGCAGACTTTGTGAGAGGTGCCAGCCACAGTGGTGAGCAGCAGGCCTGTCCCTGCTCACAAAGATCATATAACCTAGTGGGAGGAATGGGTAATAATTGGATAACTGCACTGTTTAAAAAGGAGCATGGGCCATGAGCACACAGAACCAAGGGGCAACGAGGGCTGCTCTGACATGTAGGTGCTTGAGGTGAGACCTAGTGGCTGAACAGGAGCTCGTGAAGTGATGGAAAAGTCTGGGTGGGGATGAGAGTGGAGGAAGTCTTGTAGGCAGAGGGAATAGTGAACATGGAGACCCCAGTGACATGGGAACATGGTGGTGACAATGACAACTGAGAAAAAACTAATGGGTTGGACAGAGAAAGCTGAGGGAGATGGTACTGGAGAGGGGGGCAGGACAACCCATGTGGGCCATGAGTGGCATTTTGGAATCATCCTAATGGTGCCCCACATGTCAGGACTGTTTGCTGGATTCTTCTGGGCCTCAGGCAGTTGCCTTCATAGTGAAGAGGAAGGCTGCAGGTATCAGAGAAGAGTGGAGGTGCAGAGGGAAGGAGACAGGAAGATGGAATTGCTCAAAGGACAAGTTCTCCCCCAGCATTTCAGCAGCATCAGCCCTATCTCACTAGTGACTCCTAGGCCAGGCCAGCCTGGGACCCTTCTGCCACCCCAGATTTACCACAGCTGATACTCCCAAGGTCTTGCACAGCTAGCTCCCTGTAGGGACCAAGGTCCCAGCCCACCTACATACCTGCTTCTGGGAAGAGCAAGCATGAGAAGGAAGGTCAGAGGCACTGAGAAGGCACGTCTGGGACACACAGGCCCCAGAGGAGAACTGAGACCCACACGCTACTTCACCTTACAGCAAGAGTTGTATGTCACTTCCCCTAGGGGGTCCTTCCATAACTCCTGGATGACAAGACTTTCCAAAGGACCTGTGGGAAGAATCATTACACATGGAATTATTTCTGTAATGTGGGGTAGAAGTTGGGACGTGTCTGTCCAATTCTTCGCTGTGGTGCCTAGCACAATACTAGTACATCATCTACTCACAGTAAATGTTAATTGAATTATAAAACAAAACGTATAAAAGACCATTTTATTTTATCATATTACCTTGAGAGAAAAACCTGGGAAGAACACTCTATATTAACAGTGAAAACCATCCTACTTTTTGTGCCCGGAGTAAGGTAAGTGAGTCCATTATAAATGCTTTAAATGGTTAGAGAAGTTCTGGACTAAACCAGGGCTCCTGCAGACTTTGCTCTCATTTACTTCTAAGACATTAATTTTTGTTTTGGTTTGGATTTTTTGCTGTTGCTTTAATTATGGAGACTTCATTTATTTTGACCAGGCTGGTGCTTCAGTAAAGGTTAGAGTCCAGAGAAGCTTTCACTGTGCAGATGGATCTCTTGGCCCTCCTTTGTATGTGTGTGTGTGTGTATGTGTGTACGTGTATGTATACATGTGCGTGTCTGTGCATGTATGTGTCTGTACACCCATGCGTCTGTCTAGGGGCTCTTCTCCTCTCTAGTAACCTAAGAAGGCCCCAGATCTGGCTCACCAGTCAGGAGTAATAGATTTGATCCAAGGCCATAGGGTGAATTATGTAGATGTTCCCTTATGAAACAATATGAAGAGCATTTTAATCACCTCTGGACCTGGAGGAAAATCCTGGCTCTGGAGCCCCAATTTAAATAACAGTATGGAAAAGGGCCTCTGATTAATGGGGCTGTACCCCAAAAAGAAAAGAAATGTGCTAATTAGCCTGCTCTTTTCCTGCAACCAGGATCTGGAGACTGGATCTAGGATGCAGCCAGGTCTCCCTCACCCTCTCTGCATGGAAAAGGGGCCTTAGTGCTCGCCTACCTGCCAACTGCTCTCTCCTGGCCCTCAATAGGAAGAGGCCCCGGTGCTAAGTGCAGAGCCTTGGGTGCTTTTGCACATGTACATTTTTCTGATGAGAAAACTGTTTGTCCATCACAAGGGATTATGATCCCCAAGAAGCTAAGAACCTCTTATCTTTATAAAGGGAGTTCTTTAGATTTTATCTCATCTTCCAGAACCACAGCTGAGCATGGCCACATTTCTCTTTGATCATCTCAGTACCCTCACAAAGTAAGCTGACACACAGTGGCCCACCAAATCCATGAATGGAGGTGACAAAGT